GACACATCTTGCCACAACGCTGTTTTATTTTTGGTTGTTATCACATATTCATTTTATCCAAGTAAAATGAATAATTCGTATGAAACGGGAAAACAATAAAAAAAAATCTATTTCTTACATTTTTCCACGTCACCCCACACAAATATTGCTGCATCAGAAAAGCGCGGGAATGTGTAGCGTATTGTTCGACGCCAAGTTCTTATGAGGTCATGCTTGACAACAAAGCAGATCGCCATTTTGAATAGGTGTTTACTTCAAATTTGCGGTTTGCTGCTATTATCTGGTAAGATTTCCAGACAAAAATGATATTTATAGGGTAGTTATGTAAAAACGATTATGTATGCTGCATAGATGTAACACACAACCAATTAGTCTGCCGTCGCTTCATCTCAACTTGAAACTGAAAATCTACGCAGAGAATAGAATGTCCCGTTCAGATTGGACCATACTAAGAGTGACGTCCTCACATTTGATGATACAATATTTCGTTTATCTTCACTGCATTATGATATGTTTTTATCAAATGGAGAATTCATGATATTTCACTAGAAAACTGTAATAATTACATATAACGTATGGTTTGCTATCATATTTTTGAAAACAGTATGCGGCCTTAATTGTCCCAGAAGTCTTCCACTCATGGCGAAGCACTAAAAGTGGACAAAGTGGTTACAGATCGAACCCCGGCGGCGCATTTTGCCGCTTTGGGGTTTGAAATAAAATGAAAAAAAAGTGAATGACCTTTGTAGGGAAACGACCTCTTCTCTACGTCGCGTGCTTGACACCATGTCGCATTTTCAAATGCGCCGCTGGCTTTTTCTGACATTGATGAAGCTACAAGCACGCCAAGCAATTAGGAAAAATCAACATCACTGGTGTTGCTGCAGAGTTGCAAAGCCTAAATTGATGGTTCCCGCGAGCCACTTTCCGTTTTTTGTGTTTTGTGTATTTTTGTTCTTACTGAAGTAGACTACATCTATTGGTGTCAGGGAGAACTGAGACAGGTCAAAGTGTGAGTTGGAATGGAGATAGGACACATGTGCAAACTATTTATCTGGCGTTTTTGCCGTTAATGTCATGCCATATTTTGTGCAGACTAAAAGCTTTTTCTTTCCCAAATAAATGGAGAAAATTTACCAAGGATATTTGGAGGAGTCTTGTTCTCAGCTATCGCTGTAAGAGTTTCCCGTGAAAGCCCCGGAGCATCATACAATTTCCGTATCCCAACAGGTCAAAAGAAAAATAACAGACATTCGATATCACCTTCTCTTGCACGTGATCGCAAGAGGCGACTAAAGCGTGTGTTTTGTGAGTGGAGGAAGAGGAAGAGGNAGGAGGAGGAGGAGGAGGAGGAGGAGGAGGAGGAGGAGGAGGAGGGAGGAGGAGAAAGAGGAGCTGCATATTCGGAAGCTTTTCTCCTGGCCCTTCTGATTTGGAATGCAGACAAAAACTAAAGCATGTCTTATCTGCATTTTTTATTCGTGTCTCCTTAGCTACATGTAGTTTCAGAACAATGTAGCCGGATGTGACGTCATACGACTGTGTCAAGGTGAAGACATGTCCTGATGCCCCCAAATTGGCTTCGTTGTCTGATGACTTTACAATGAACCTATTGTGAAGACGTCAACGTTATGCTTATGACTTTACCATTGTTTTGACGTCACAAGCGCCACTCCAAATTTACGTTCTCATAAATCACAACTGTCTTTGATAGTTTTATATATCGTGGCAATGCAGAGCAAGGGAACATTATAAATAATTATGCATTGAACTGCTTTAAGTTGGAATTCATAGGAAATATGAATGCCAACTGGACAAAAGCAAATTTAATAAAGTGCACTAGCTCCGTTATCTCATAGGAACTAAATTTAACACTAATTATTATCCAGCATTTAGTTCAAATAATGTATTTATCGTACATGCTATGTCAATGAATAGAACAGTCATCTATCCATGGAGGGTCAGTGATATCCAACGAAACAATCATGACTTCAACAATCGGCGCATGGCATTTAAAGCCTGTATGAATGCCATCTGAATGTGATAGGGTTAGCTATGCCACTGGCGTACAATTGCAAATATATAACAAGTATCACGAGGAGCCATGTGAGTCCAATCAATGTAATTCACTAATCATCACATCTAGTTATAGAAAATAACTTTGAATGAAAGCCTTGCCAAGCTGTTCATTATAACATCCCTCTGAAGGAACAGAACTATAGATTATTCACACGCACTTGTAAGGCAGTTGATGCTAGCTTTGACGATTTGTAAAAGTTCAAAAAATTAAGAAATTTTATAAGAAAAAATGACAACTATTTAAAAAAGGTATTATCTTATTGCTCCATATTAATCACTTCTTAAACTTACAGACTTTTGTCTTATTGTTGAGTTGTTTTTTGTATTTAAATTAAAAATTGTTGAATCGTTTGAAAGACCTGAAGTTTTCTGAGCGACATCAAACACATAACTCCTTTTTTCTTAAAGTGCATTTCTAAATTACCATTTTAAATATACAGATGTCATAAAGTGTCGTATTTGCATGCTAAACGCCGATTTGATACTCTCAAAACAAGAAGTCTTTATTCAGGTTACTTCCGATGGGAAACAGTCTGCTCTTCTGTCAAGATCTTATAAAGGAAACATTTAAGAGTACAATGTGCTGTTGGGATAACAAATGAAATATGGCGGCAAAACGTTTCCGAAACAAAGAACCTGACATTGGCCAATGTATCAATTATGATCCGCCTTCTTCGAAATGGGAATAACTGGTTTTCGCGTTGTTTAAAGGTGCACCGTACTGTAAAATTATCTTCTTTTTAAAGAAGAATGGTATGTTGAATGATAGTCTTTGCTTCGGTAAGATTTATTTGTCCAAGGATTTTACCATGAATAATTTATATTCTTATTCCGAAACAAGAGCCAGACAGAATCTCAATGAAAACAAATCAATGGAGAAGTTTCCGACTATCGGTGATTTATATTTACTTTTAGACAAAGCTCACCGTTGATTGTATCTTTGTAAATAATGTATACAGCATAAACTTCTCTTTTTTCTTTTTCTAACGAGCAAACACCAGCAGTTAAATCAGTGTTTCTGTTATGTTCAGTTTTACGGAGTTACTTCCCCTTATAAATATTTACTATGGCAAGATTGGTTCTTTCTATCGATTAGCGATGAACAATATGCGAGACCTTAAAAAACATTCAGTTTTAACGATATTATTACAAGTGAACTTTTAAGAGAGAAAATCGTTTGATGTTACAGTTTAATCAAACCTAGAGAATATAAATTTTGATGAAAATGCTGGATATGAATTTGTTTCTTTTAAAAGTAAGTTTATCGTTACAATATCACAGAATATCGAAATGTCAACAAAACAGTGAGTCGAACTCGATAATTCTACAACAATGAACATGGGAAATTTAAAGGAGAATATAACCATGTGTTCGGACGGTTATTAAACCGCCATGCCATCTGGGTAAAAAGAACTGTCACATGCTTAAATCGCAAACCTGGCTAAAGTGAACGCAAAACAATATATTCCACTAATAAGGATACCCCCAAAGACACGGGCCTTTATATCGCACAAAGACCTGTCACATGTCCTAACGAAATCATAATGTCGACCATTAAAGCTGTCCATAATCTTCAGCAACATGCAACCTTGTAGATAAAACGGATATCAAAGTGTCATGTTGCTATATCCGGATATGCCAGGTAATATTAACGTGACACTTTTGTATTCATTTCTAATTACCTAAAAATCACATCTTTGCAAGATACGGGGTAGATTAGATGCTGACAGAACTTTCATAAGTTATGAACCGCTCTCAACCTTAATCCTTAATTTTTTAAGTGTTAGTAGAGATTTACCATAGGTTTTTTTCACAAGTAGAGGACATATTGTCGAAAACCTTTTTTCTTTATTCAATGTTTTACCATAATCTTGTTTGAACTGGCGACTTTTTTGCTATTACATTGAGATAAAAAATCCATACGAACCTTAATGAAACGAAAACTGCTCTCGGAAAATTAATGGAACGATAACTTTCAAGCTAAAAATGTTATTACAAAGTTCTCTGCCATCAATTTCCTCTAAGCCAATACTGCCGTTATGTATGTGTAAAGGGTTCGTGGTGTACATGCAGTATGTGTACATGAGTTTGCCGATGCCAGTGAGTCTAATTCTGATGTCCTGATATCGTTTAGATTTGAGTAGTATTTATTTCTTCAATAGATTCGACAATGTGGTGCCTCTGTCGGCTTCTGTGTTCATACGTTATGTCAGTATTGTACGGAGCAGTATGAACGTGGGTGAGAAATGGCCCGTCATTAATAAAAGTTACATTCAATTTAAATGTCCCTTCGACGAAATACATTTATAAAATAAAACATGAACCAACAGAAAATATTGCCAAATATGCAATCAACAAATTCTAGACAGGACTTATAGAATCGTCTTCTACCTTGAAGGCGCGAGACAGAAATCCCCCGGCCGATGGCGTGCTATACAGTTATAGACTTCAGGAGAAGTGTATCTATGATTTACGAACCTGGTCTGAATAATAGTTATCAAGCCGAAGGCAGTAGCGAATATTGTCATAATGTATTGTGATACAGGTGTGAATTGATATAAAACATTAATACATATTGTAATATCACAACTTTTAAACCTTAATTGACACAGAAACGATACACATAACCACAGGTAAACACACAGGTAAACACACAGGTAAACACAAAGGTTACATACAAGTAAGCTACTCTAAACCAGACTATCCTTTTTTTTAAATCATTCTTCTCCGATTATTTTCCTTACAAAAATCAGAATTTGTTCTCGCCGTTGTCTTCGTTGATATCATTGCTGCTGTTTTTTGTCGTCGTCGTAGTCATTATTTTTGCTGTACTGTTTGACGTCGTCGTCGTCGTTGTTGTTATTGATTTTTCGTCGTTTTCCTCGTCGTCGTTAATCTTGCTGTTGCTTTTGTAGTCGTCCTTACTCTCGCTCGTCGTCGCTGTTGTTGTTTTCGTCGTCACTGTTGTTGTTTTCGTCGTCGCTGTTGTTGTTTTCGTCGTCGCTTTCGTTGTTTTCGTCGTTGCTGTTGTTGTTTTCGTCGTCACTGTTGTTGTTTTCGTCGTCGCTGTTGTTGTTTTCGTCGTCAATGTTGTTGTTTTCGTTGTCGCTGTTGTTGTTTTCGTCGTCACTGTTGTTGTTTTCGTCGTCGCTGTCGTTGTTTTCGTCGTGGCCATTATTCTTGCTATTGCTTTATAGTCGTCGTCGCTGTTGGTGTTTTCGTCGTCTCTGTTGTTGTTTTCGTCGTCGCTGTTGTTGTTTTCGTCGTCGCTGTTGTTGTTTTCGTCGTCGCTGTTGTTGTTTTCGTCGTGGCCATTATTCTTGCTATTGCTTTATAGTCGTCTTTGCTGTTTAGGGTGGTCGTTGTTGTAACTGTTGCTTTTCTCGTTGTCATCGTCGTTGTTATTTTTTCTGTTCTTTTTGTCGTCGTCGTTGTTGCTACAGTCGCTGATGTTGTTGTTTTTGTGGTCGTCGTTGTTTCTATTGTTGCTGTTGTTTTGTCGTTGTCCTCGTCGTCGTTATTCCTTTTCTGCTATTATCGTCGTCGTTGTAATTGGTGTTTTTGTTGTCGCTGCTGTCGTCGTTGTTATTGGTGTTTTTGTTGACTCTGCTGTCGTCGTTGTTATTTGTGTTTTTGTTGTCGCTGCTGTCTTCGTTGTTATTGGTGTTTTTGTTGTCGCTTCTGTCGTCGTTGTTATTGGTGTTTTTGTTGTTGCTGCTGTCGTCGTTGTTATTGGTGTTTTTGTTGTTGCTGCTGTCGTCGTTGTTATTGGTGTTTTTTTTGTCGCTGCTGTCGTCGTTGTTATTGGTGTTATTGTTGTCGCAGCTGTCGTCGTTGTTATTGGTGTTTTTGTTGTTGCTGCTGTCGTCGTTGTTATTAGTGTTTTTGTTGTCGGTGCTGTCGTCGTTGTTATTGGTGTTTTTGTTGTTGCTGCTGTCGTCGTTGTTATTGGTGTTTTTGGTGTCGCTGCTGTCGTCGTTGTTATTTGTGTTTTTGTTTTCGCTGCTGTCGTCGTTGTTATTGGTGTTATTGTTGTCGCTGCTGTCGTCGTTGTTATTTGTGTTTTTGTTGTCGCTGCTGTCTTCGTTGTTATTGGTGTTTTTGTTGTCGCTACTGTCGTCGTTGTTATTGGTGTTTTTGTTGTTGCTGCTGTCGTCGTTGTTATTGGTGTTTTTGGTGTCGCTGCTGTCGTCGTTGTTATTTGTGTTTTTGTTTTCGCTGCTGTCGTCGTTGTTATTGGTGTTATTGTTGTCGCTGCTTTCGTCGTTGTTATTGGTGTTTTTGTTGTCGCTTCTGTCGTCGTTGTTATTGGTGTTTTTGTTGACTCTGCTGTCGTCGTTGTTATTTGTGTTTTTGTTGTCGCTTCTGTCGTCTTTGTTATTTGTGTTTTTGTTGTCGCTGCTGTCTTCGTTGTTATTGGTGTTTTTGTTGTCGCTGCTGGCGTCGTTGTTATTAGTGTTTTTGTTGTCGCTGCTGTCGTCCTTGTTATTGGTGTTTTTGTTGTCGCTGCTGGCGTCGTTGTTATTAGTGTTTTTGTTGTCGCTGCTGTCGTCCTTGTTATTGGTGTTTTTGTTGTCGCTGCTGGCGTCGTTGTTATTAGTGTTTTTGTTGTCGGTGCTGTCGTCGTTGTTATTGGTGTTTTTGGTGTCGCTGCTGTCGTCGTTGTTATTTGTGTTTTTGTTGTCGCTGCTGTCGTCGTTGTTATTGGTGTTTTTGCTGTCGCTGCTGTCGTCGTTGTTATAACTGTTGTCGCTGCTGTCGAACGTACCTGAAGCATCAGTTATCTATAAAAAGTTATATTATATAACTGACACAATACCCACCCGACCTCAAGCGACCACCAGCAACGAGTACATCCCGAGGGTGACGGGTTAGCTCGATCTCCAGATCGTTATAACATCGATACAGGATTGTAAGACAAAGGTGACGACAACGTCTGGAAGGGTGTCGCTGATATCCGCCATTCATATGTCAGCTTCTCACAAAGTAGTCCCGGACCATTGACCAATCATATATTTTGGCATCAGTTATAACGAATTCATAGCTCACATTCGCGCGTGCATACGAGCGAATGGCACGTTCATGATCAGATATTTTATAGAACAGTTCTATTGATTATAATGTCGTGACATAAGAACGCGACAAAGGTCAAGGTCGTAGTAATTTGCGAATTATAAAAATAAGGTATTTACAGAAAATACTGACACTTCAATTTAACAGGTCGATCAAATAATGAAATTAACAAGTGTTGTCCATTTCCATCGGTTTTATTTAATTTCATTTCAGGTCTGAGGATTTGGTTAATTCGTTTTATTTTTTATTTTTCCAATGTTCTAATATCTATTAAGATGTTTTGTGTAAACATTACTTACAGAGGTTTCGACCTATCTGTTTAGTTGTCAGTATATCATTCTCATGAGAGTTGGCTCACACTTGGTGAACCACTGTCAGTAATATACCATTACAATGGACTTATATATACATCACCTGTCTGGAAGTTCATTTTTCACGAGGCAAAGGACAATATGAAATTCAATTCAGCCAAGCCAGGTAATATTAACTCATGATACAGTACATGTATCTGCATAAAACACTGATAACGAAGTTTGCCGTCATACGAAACCTAATTAATCATTGAAAACTAAACTTCTTCATTTCAAATCGATTATATGTAGACCTGTTATTACATGTGGCAAACGACTATAGCAGTTGTCGACCTTGACATATGCGTTTATTTTCACGGTAAGTGAGTTCATATATACTGTCTGGGATAGTGATAAACCAACCTAGCTGGTCTGATTGTTTTTAGGATGACAAATCGATTTACTTTCTGGCAGGCGACGAAAGCCGAGGATGTCCGAATACGTCCATAGTGATGGATACGACTGTTATAGTTAAAACCAAAGTAAAAATCTGATGTTTTTACATTGAGTAATGTCGATAACAGATTATTAACAAACGCTTTGCTATAGATTGGAGACAGGTACATGTATCGACAGACATCCCGGGACGCCATCATTTATTTATTCTCGCTACGTCAACAAACACTGTTCGAGGACACGAAAGCACAGAATCAAGGTCACCCTCTATATAATTGGTAAACTACCTTCAAATAACACAATAGCAGCAAGCTATTAAAAAAAATCCAGTAAATGATACTTAACATAATCCGTTACGGTTTTATTGAATGTAAGCACATAAGGTTTTGATATCCTGTGTGCAGAGCTGTACACTGTTCACATCGTTGGGACGTCTATTGTGTACATGCAAATTATAACACAAGTAAATATTACAACAGATGACCTACTTCTTCAAATCCCCTAACTTCGTTTAATGTCCCGATAATCGCCCAGACACCAAGCATGATCGATAATCGCCCCAGACACCAGTATAGGTTAGTATTACACGTATCACGTCTAGGTCATTTATGAACGAAAAGCGGAAAACAGCACAGCTATACTACTGTTAGAGTCTGGCCTCGCGGTATCCGGATCACTGGTTTGATAATAAGAATCCAGGCTCAATCAACCGAGTATATCAGTATCTTAATATTCTAAAATAGAAATACCGTTATGTTTGTTTAGATTTTTTACGTTTGACCTTGGAGGAATGTTGCTAAACGTTACCACTATACGTACATCATACAACTGCTTATATGGGTCAAAGAAGTAATATAGACGGTAAAATCCCATAAAACACTGGATCCTAATGGAGGTATGTCCGTAGGATACGAATTACTTAAAATATTATATGGGGCAAAGAAGTAATTCCAAAAGTGTGGACAAGTTTAGGTTGTCAAATTTTCGGAGCGGTCCGCTCCTTTTTCAAGACACAGTGAAACAGAACAGTTAATCATAGTACAAGAAGATAGAATTGATATACTATAACTGATATACTATAATTGATATACTATAACTGATATACTATAATCGATATACTATAACTGATATGCTATAATTGATATACTATAACTGATATACTATAACTGATATACTATAACTGATATACCATAATTGATATACTATAATTGATATACTATAATCGATATACTATAATTGATATACTATAACTGATATACTATAACTGATAGACTATAATTGATATACTATAATTGATATACATTGATATACTGTAATTGATATACTATAATTGATATACTATAATTGATATACATTGATATACTATAATTGATATACTATAATTGATATACTATAATTGATATAATATAACTGATATACTATAATTGATATACTATAACTGATATACTATAA